CTGTCAACTTCAAAGTAGGATTGGTTAAAAATATGCGTTAATGAGTGTTAAAAATATATATAATATATACAATTTAAAATCGTCGAGGCCGACTGACTAGTCATCAGTTACAAAATAAAAATAACAAAATATAATAATTATAATTTAAAGTCGTTGATTGGCAAATTTAAAGCAAACCTTCTTTAAATATTCAATTAGCGAAAGCTTCTTGTCAATATAATCAACCATAATAACCATACAGTTCCCTAGGTATTGGTTATTTTTTTCTTTTTTGGTACTACTTATAAGAACGATACAAGTACGTRTATCTCAATCGTTATCTTAATCGACTGGGATATCAGCAATAATTTGCTAAAATTCCAATACAACAATATATTTACATTTTATTGTATATAATTTATTGTAGAGTGTAGGTACATTCATATTTTATACTATTTAGTTTATATTTTGTATCAATTATTTAAAATTAAAAATTTTAACTAATTTACCTAAACACAAACGGGAACCAATTCGGCTCTACCTATATAATTTGGATCAACTTAATAAAATGCCTTTTTCAGATGGGAACCAACGGYTGTAGCTTATAAGCACAAAATATGACCCAAACGTGACCAAAAAGCGTAAAAATAAATAACCCATAAGCGCAAAAAAATTATCTTTTTAATAACCCATAAACGCAAATTAATTTCATAAAAATTTGTATTTTATTAAAATCGTTGTTACTATTAATATTTAATTAAGCATTTACAGTGATATTAAAATTAGTAATTATGATATTAGTTTAAAAAATCAAAATTATAATTTTGAGTATTATTTTAAATTAGTTAAACAAGTATCATAAATAAATAAATATAATATTAAACTAATATAATAATGAGTAGGTACCTCAAAATTAAATTTTAAATTTGATACCACCTACATGTCATCAAGACTTTAGTATTCCAATCTCTTGAAATTTTTTTTTCTTCATACAAGGTCCAAATATATATGTATTGGAGATGACTATAGATTTACAATTTATTTTTGCGCTTTTATCCCACTACCAAGGCACAAAAGCGCAAATTTGTTTTGCGTTTTAAATTATTGAAAATAAAGTTCGATTCGCATTTTCAGGTTTTACCGAAACCAACTCGGTTACTCCCACTTACCTGTTATCAAATAATCTATTGTGCCATTAATCGTAAGTCGTCAGTCGATAATACTTAATAGTTGTCATATGATGCTATACATATAACATATATAGTATATATATTATGATGTGGATCTGAAATTGCCACAGCTTACAGACTACAATATTAATTGAAGTAGGTTTAAGAGATGTATTTTTGACATAATTAAATCCATGGAGTACCATTAATTGTTTTAGTCAATTTTATTATGTCGTGTGAAAGTATTTTAATAATTAAAAACTAACAATTAATAACGTCCTTAATCCCCCGGTCAAGTTGAAAAAAAATTGTTTTACCTGGTCTCGAGTTGTATTGAAAATATGGTAGACACATTAAGTGTCAAAAGTTTCATTTTTAACCAGTGGTAGTGGTGCCCACAGGTTTTCCGTGGACCAGTGCAGTCATAGGGCCCCTAAATCTATAATTTATAATTTATTTAATTTATATAGTTATATTAGTTACTATATTTATTTATATATTTGGCACTTACAACGCCTAATAATTCATTCAACGATCTAATGATCGAAATGAGTAGTTATGATGCATTTATATTATTTATAATGTTTACTCTACAGTGGGGTCCAGGTCCTGAAACCTGTGWGGAACCATTGCGGTTGAACTATACTTTTGGTACCCTACGTGGGTGCCACTTTTTCTAACGGATTCGCACTGGACATATTTGCACTTTCGAGTTGGTACCTACAGAACTATATTGGGTAGGCGGAATACCTGGAATTTCCCRGTGGGCCGCTTGTTTAAATTTGGTCGCTTGAACTCGAAAACACTCCAATGGTTGCTCCCGACTGTCGACATGGGTGTGCGACAAAATTGCAAAGCATTTACAAAATAAATTGAGCTTGTAGTAAATCGTGACAAGAGTATAACAAGAGCTAACTTGATATCCGAACTACAAGACTTTTTTCAAAATGGGACCGCTTAAAATTGTTACTCTCGATGAAGATAACACATTTGATAATTTTATAGACGARGAATAGCAGTTAGACCTAAAAGAAAGTATTAACAATTCTAATTCGGAAATTTAAAAAAAAAAATCGAAAACATGATGTAATAAAATTAAAGCGTGTCGAAATTGTATTTTATGTTGCTGTACAGTACTACTGAAATATAATCTGACAGCGAAGCTTAATAGACAATATTTTGTGCATTCAAATTCATTACTGTGGTCAACAAAAGTAGCTTGTGAAAGAATGTTTTCGAAATTGAAATATATTCTCAATAGAATAAGAAATTCATTGAGTCAAGATAATTTAAAATCATTTATGCTTAGGTATGTCAGGCGTMAGCTGAATCTGGTATTTTTATGGCGTTGCAGGATAATGAAATTACAATCGAAATAATTTCGCAAAAAAAGATCAAATCTTAATGAAYTGCTTAATATGTATTAATGTGTATTTTTGGAGTCTAAACATATGTATTTTACATGAAAATGATAACATTTCTTTGTACTAACTATTTTTTAATTTTTAATAATAATATTAAGTGTTCAATATATGTTTTAGGGTTGTTTTTATAGGTATACCTAAGTGGGATGATTTTTTTTATGTTCCCGGTAGAAATTTTTGACCCAGTCCAGCCCTGGGTACCTCTACTTCATAATATGAAAATAAATCGCTGTTAAATTTTACACGAGAGTTAGTGCTACTCAAAATTCCTTAAGATTTCTAGAAAATCACTGTCCTTGCACGGACCGTATAAATACTCAATTAGCTTTTTTGACAGTCGTGGTTAAAAAAAAAAAGTTGAACCAGGGAACCAATACTCTACAATAATATACAGGTAGGACGTAGGTACCTGTTACCTGCTATGGAATTTATTATAATAATTATGATAAACATCTATGCAGTTTTGATTACGGACTTGTCTTTCACAAGACCGTAGTTCGGATTAACAATTCAAATGTTATTTTACCGGCTAAGGAAACTCCATGTTAAATCTTAAAACTCGTTATGTAAAGCTGACAGCATGATATTATTTGTGTGTGTGTGACGTGTGTGTTTTTTTAAACGTGAAATGTGTTTGTATTTGTTTATTATAAATTACTTGCTATAGGCCTAAAGATAAAACCAGATATCTTAACGTGGTAATCATGATAATATAATAATATGCATAAGCATTAAGCTTCTTATTACGTTGGCGATGTTAATTCAGAACAATGCTAAATCATAGGTACTAGTTAGTTATAAATTGTAACCTATAGGTGAGATTAGGTGCATGGGTGGTCGCACTATAGTCACTAGGAATATTCGGCAGAAACGCGTGGTATTATATAATTTATAATATATTTCCATGCAAGTTATGCTAGTAAAAACGAAATAAATAATGACTCCGAATCGTCTTAACATCAAAATATTTTAATGTGGGGTTTTCACAAGTGAAAATGAAATTTTTGAAATTTATATTTTGGGATTCACATTTTCCAATGGTCTTCCGAATTCAACTATATATTTTGGATAATGTGAATATCTAGTAAAATTAAATTTTTGAGATACAATGTATGTCTGAATCCCTATTCGTATATCAAATTTCCAAACCTAACAAGAAAAAATATGATGATACCTAGTTATCATATATTTATTATTCGTACATTTTAAAACTATTTTTAGCTGTTACTAACGTGTTGTATGATGGTTTATTGTTATTACAATACTTGTCATTGGACAAAACCAAAATGATTTTGAGATGACTGTCGGTTGTAACTTGTAAAAAATGATAAAAATATTTTGCATTACATGTGGAAATCACCTTGTAAAGTTGAATTAAATTCAGATTTAGAAAGTTTGAAAAAGTATGTTTACAACTTGGATGAAAATGAAACTACTAAATGCAATAAGATACCTACCGAATATAAAATCAATTGTTTACTAAATATACCTTAACATTTTATAGTTATTCAGTTTAACGTGTGAACAAAGTTTTAGAAATTTAAAATTGATAAAAATATATATATAACAATTTACTACAATGCAAGCAAGATATATTATGAAAAAATAATCAATATAAAAAGACCAGAATAGATAAACTAAAATTACCAATTGTCTTTTATTACATTAAAAGAACTACCAAAGAGTTTTTAATTTATGTTTGTTTTTATATATCCCCGGTACGATATAAGATACATACATAATCATACCTATATCATACAATATATAATAAAATATATGTAATATATTATATATATGTATGTAATATAAATATATATAAATATATAAATCATTTATAAAAAGAAATTATACTTTTTAATTTGTATTTTAAACATTTGTTTAACATTGGAGCAACGATTACACAGGAAAGACTAGCCCCAGACAGGCGTTAAATATATTCAAAAAAATTTAAATGTTCATCAAAAAGAATTGCATTGATGGACTGATGGAAAACAGTTAAAGAGAAACTATATTTTGTAATATATAATTAGTTATAACTAATTGTACAAAACAAATTATTAATTATAGTTAAGTATATGTGTCTATTTTTTTTCATTATAAATAGTATGGCATAGGTACCTATCATAAATATGATACATAATACACATACATACATAAACAATATATATATATATATATATATTTTATTATTGATATATTTAATAAATCGCAATTAACTGAGTTCACATTTACTTTAAAATTGTTTACTATCTGTGCAACATCTATTACAATACGTAATTGTATATTTTTCAAATTTATTTAACATCTACAATATAATGGACGTGCTATTAAAAACCGGTATACCTCTCCCACTAAATCGAACTATCTGTACTTCCTCTCTTTAATCTGATCGCCGTGGGAATGGTATATAAGGCTGTGCAGATACCGTGATTTGTTTAGTTTTATCATATGATATTTTCGATTTAACAAAAACTAATTTTTCAAGAATATTTATTCGTTAAAACTGATAAAATGGCCCATTTTAATTTATTTGTCGTTCTGGTCGCGTCTCTGGCGTGCTTCACATTGGCGGAAGAAAAGTACACAACTAAATTTGATAACTTTGACGTAGACAAGGTGTTGAACAACAACAGAATTTTAACCAGCTACATCAAATGCTTGTTAGACGAAGGAAATTGTACCAACGAAGGCCGAGAACTGAGGAGTAAGTCATATAAGAACAAACGTATACTATTACATGTATTATATTAAATAGATTATTTATTATTTAATTACAATAATCATAATTTAATATTTATAATGCCATTGGTTTAACTTTAACGATAAGTGTTTAAAATTTTAAATACCGATATGCTTCTGATATATACTATAACAACTACTATATATGTATCAAATAAGTATCAACTAATCGCTAATTTATTGAAAAAAAATCAATATATTTATTCAATATTTAACCCAATACTTATTTAAAATTTTAAAGGTACGTCAGTAGGTAATATAATTTTATTTATCATACTAAATTATCAACTCGTGAACATTAATTTAATAATTATACATAGTGCTATACTTAACAAAGATACCGTAATGATCAATAAGATCAACACTAACAATATTTGTATTCATAATATTACTGGTTTYACTTTCACATCAAACATATTATATCGATATAAGACCTTGTTGACTCGGATAGATATCACTTTCACCGGGTGTTGTAATTTTTTTTCATTTAGATTAAATAAATTACCGTGTATACTGTATATCATTCAGAAAGAAATGTGATTTATCCTTGTTTTTTTTCTAGCTTTATTGAAATTTTTATTAATTTTTTTATACTTCGTTTTCATAATAATATACTGTAATGTTATAATGTTGTATTTTGTTGTCTCATTAAATTTACAGAAGTTCTACCAGATGCATTAAAAACTGACTGCAGCAAATGTACCGAGGTACAAAAGGACAGATCAGAAAAAGTGATTAAGTTTTTGATCAAGAACCGTTCTAGCGACTTTGATCGTTTGACCGCCAAATACGACCCATCGGGCGAATACAAGAAGAAGCTCGAAAAACTCGACTCAGAAAAGGCTGCAGGTGCTAAAAATTAATTCATTTCATTCTTTATTATTTCTTAAACTTTTCCTATGCATTTTCCGTTGTATTTGATCCAGTACAAAAAGAATGATGTATTTCTTTCTACTTAAGGTATTTTAATATAATTTAATTATATGCTTATAAAAATTAGATTTAATATGTTTCTATTAAAATAAATACTAATTATTTATGAACAAATTTGTCATTATTTACGTTGTTTTTAATTATTCTATGTACTTGAACGATATTAATATAGTTTAAGCTGTAGTCTTGTTAGTTCTATAAATTGGTTCGACACGATCCCAAAATTCTGGATAGTGTTTTTTCACGTAATTTAAAATTCGTCGGATATTGCTGGTCTCTGTTGAGGTACAGCGTTCACAATCATTGTTTATCTCTTCAGGTATAGTAGCTGAAAAATAAAGTATGATAGTTTAAGGATAAAAAATTATTAACTATGTACTTATGAATTACGACTGTCTATAAAATATAGAAAGAGAGTTGATTAAGGATAATAAAGATGAACAAGTGGGTACCAATCTGCTGTACAGTAGTTTTCGAGCATATTGTTGTAATTAATGTATTATAATATTAAGCTCTCGATGATAACCATTGCAGATAAAAAACGGTGTGTAATTCTACATATTTTTATAAATAATCAAATTGAATAGTTAAAAAAAAAAATAATAAACATCGGAAATATCTAATAGCTATAAATAACATAAAAGTATTTATTTTTTATAGAGGTGGAATAACTAGTTAGGAATATTCTATTAAGAGAGCGCAACACCCGTATTTGTTGTCTYAGTCTTACAAATGTGTAACATGGCAAATTTACGCTCAGCAGTTCACGTTTTACAGTTTTACTCCATTAGCTTGAAAATTAGAGTGAGTAGACCTATTATGAAACTTGATGGTAAAAACATTATCTGTGTTTCGATGGAATTATTTTTCATTTTTTAAGTGAGATATGGGCGTATAATAAATTGTAAAATAAAAATGCTCATGATTTACTTCAAAACTGAATTATCRTAAAAATACTTACAACAAAACACAGATAATGTTTTTACCATCAAGTTTCATAATAGTATATTCACTTTAATTTTTAAACTAATGGAGTAAAACGTGAATTGCTGAACGTAAATTTGCTATGTTACGCGTTTTTAAGACTAAGACACAAATAATACGAGTGTTGCACCCTCTTAATATTTCTAATATTAGCCATGAAAAGAATAACTTTAATGAATTTYTAACCGAAAAATAATTTAAAGATTTGAAAAAATTTTAGCTTTAAATACATAAAAATAATTGTTTTGAAAATGATTCATTGAAAATGCACGTTTTTTAATAAGGAAACACTTTATCGAGAATAATTCTAAAGAAATGTCAAGGCTATAAACAGCTTAAAAAGAGTTAAAATATTTCGAAAATGTTACCATTTATGTAGAATACTACTCGTATTATAAATATTTTATTTTATTATTTTTTTGTATTTAAATAAATAAATTCGTGTCTCGTGTTTTCATAGAACAATATCATTTTTTTTTTTTTATTAGAATAAGCCTCGGCAGCGAAGGCCACTGGCTGACGTTTGACAATTAACAATTATATAAGATTAGTTATTACAATGATTTTGTTAGTACACTACATATTTACATATTATGGTTAATTTTTTACAATAAATTTCCGATTTGTATATCTTTGATGAAGCTTAGAGTATTTGTGGTGGTTTCTATGTTCAGGCCTAGTGATTCGTATAGATGTTCTGGGATGATGTTATGTTTATTTCTGGCGGCTTCAGTTTGTCTGCCAATATCATTTTATTGGAATTATATAYATAATATATTCACTACTATTATAGTTTATCAATTTAATATTTGTATATAATATATTTAACACAATCTATCAAATAATTTCAGCATTTTAAAACTTGGTATAAAAGTTCTTTAGCATATTTAATTCAGTATATAAGTCAGTGAAATGATAAGAAATTTTCTCATTTGCTGATAGTGATGATACGACGTACACCAGAGACATTTACAAATTTTGATTAATGTACTTTATTCTTAAGATGTACATTCGTACAGAATATTGAAGTAACAATTTACGAGTTGAAATCGATTTATAATAAGAAAACGAAGTTATGTCAGCTATATAAATTCAATTTTACATCCAACTTCCTAGTAGGTAGTTATACTAAGTGCAATAATATATGCAACATTTTAATTTTCCTTATAAACTTTTTTTTTTTAATATTTAGTAGAGATAATTTTTACTTTTTACTTTCTTTTTTTCATTAATAACCTTTTCTGTAAGATGCTTTAAGTGGATAATTAGTTTATTAAGATGACCATAATAAAGATGATTTTTAAGGGGTTAAATATAGGCAAATATTAATACTTATAAAGTTGAAGAATTTTAAACTTAGATTCTGAATGGAGTGATGATTGAATTGAATTTATAACAATATAATATGTGTTATTTGGAATAGGATTTAACATACCCTTATTAAATATTAATCGGAAATATATAATTTCAATTTTTAATTTTAATTTATATGTAGGTATTTATTTATTTGTTTATTTATTTATTTATATTATATTAAATTTTATTTATTATTTTTATTTATTCATATTCTCCTATATATATGAAGTTCAAATGTTCATAACATCGATCAAAATCTCGAAAATTAGTAAATTATTATGACAAGATTCTCCATAAGTATTTATTAATAGACATTTTAAAAAGGTTAGCCTTAAAGCTACATTATTTAGGAGCGATTGAAGTGACTTCCTAATATTTCATGACATTGTTTATAAGAGTTATTAGAAATGTGAACTATTACTAAAAACATCATATTTTTCTACACAATTAAATTTTCAAAAAATTTAGACATTTAGAGTTAAGACAAATATTTAGTGCCCCTCCCCTCTTCGAATTTGGAGACTTATAATAATAAGTACTCTGTTATACTTAAATACTATAATACGTTTAAGTATTATGCCGAAGGTACCGTCACAGTACACATTAAGCGCATTCTATTTAACTACGTCTTACCTTTGAGTCTCAATCCGACGGCGTCACACGAATCTTCATTTATAACGCAATAAAATTGTTTCATAGCGTATTTCTCGTCCAAAAGCCTGATTATGTCAAAAGTGGTGATGAAATCTGGTTTGTCACCATCCTCATCGTGTCTTCTGCGTCCGAAAAAATTTGTGATGGTAAAAAAAAAACCTTCTTCGCTATCGGAGTTGTTTTCTTTGTAGTCGACGTCCTCCTTGAMCAGATGAATATCACTGCCCGGTTCGTCATTTAAGGTGGTGCTCCCAGTAAATGCGGCGTGTGTCACCACAACCGTGGTCACGGTCATTAAGATCACAGAATTCAGGCAAAACGATGACATGTTGCGACACGATGCGGTGTGGTTCTGGCGGTGTTGACGTCCGATAAACATGTTGTTGTGTTATTATACATGTATATTGTTTATAATATATATATGTGTACGCGATTTCTACACAATTCTTCGCAAAACTAGTAACCGATTTCTACCAAAAATCTATAACACAGAAATTTCAATATTACAATTTATTATTATATGAAGTTTAAGTCAGCTAGGGATCAACATAATGACGGAACACGTACATGTTTTTTACTTACGTACATTGATTGCTGTGTAAGAAAAAGTTTGTAAGTTTGTAAGCAAAACTAGCGAAAAACAATGKTATTTCCTATGAAATGAATAGTAGTTGCCAGATATACACTATATCGATGTACAGTGCACTCGCATAAAAATTTTCATAACATTGGCTATTGTCTTATTGATTTGATGATGATTAGATAAATAAATAATTTTTATTACATCTATGAATTGAAGCTTTATCTTCTACTAAATTACTAAATAAAATTGAAAAATAAAATTGGAAAATTGGACATGTTKAAAAACTAATTTTAATGTTATATTAAATTTTAAAAAAGTGCCTAGGATAAAAAAAAAACGAAAAATTACGAATAATCGTTCTGAAATATTTTTAAATTTAATCACACTTCCAAACAACAAAAGTTCATTACAATTTATAATTATATAATAAGTTTAWTGTAAGTGCCTTTACAACAAGAAATCGTATAGTATAAAAAAATAAATAGTAGGTAGGTATATGTAGATATAAAAATAATTCAGTCATTACAATCACCATGATTTATTCTATGTGATATTAAAAACAAATTTAAAACATAACGTATTATCAATGTAATTTAATTTCAATAATTATATTATAATTATTAAATTTTATATTCTTTGAATCTAAAGTTTAATAGTTATTTATAAAGAGTATTACATTTTTTAAATTGCTAATTGGTTTCAGATTATACTGTATTACATTACAATCGAACAATTGTAAAAATTGAAAAACGAATGAACAGTTAATTATTAATGTATATTAACTATTTAAAATAAAAAGATGTTCTATACATTTAAGAAGATTTTAAGTAAATAATTAGATGTATATTGTGATTTAGTACTGATATAAATTATAACTTAATTATGAATTAGTTTTTATTATTACTTAACTATTTTTATACTATTTTACTTTAATTTGATTGATATGTAATTACCTATATAATGACAATCACTTCACTTATACAAACAAGGGTCAAAATCTACGATTTTTAAAATTATGTCTTATACTGTTTCTAAAAAATTTGCTTGTTAGCTAATGGTTTTCGCTCATCTTAAAGCATCAATTGGAAAAAAAATGTAATTCTGTATAAATACGCTTTYTTTATCTAGAAAATAAATGAATATTTTAATTGGACTTTTGTTCTTTTGTGTCTCAATTATAGGTTATTATGCGGCTATTGTGAATGAATTTGTATATCTTTTAAGAAAGCATTTGGTAATATTATAATAACTTTAAAAAAAACCTTACATTTGTTAATTGTTCTTATTCTTATAATTACTGTATTATTAATCACATATTATACTGCACCTACTACCTACTAGTTGATTCATGTGAACATTTAAATTTTTGTCTCGTAATTTTATAAGGATAACTTTAAAGGTTTACCTCCAAAATCCTCACTATAATTATGCCTAAATTTAAAATATAATTTCAGAAAATTGTTTTTTTTTTTTAAATTTATTATAAGTACACAATATACAGTTTTTTATTGTTATTATTATAGTTCATCGCTACCACTGTATTGAACTTCAACAATTAAATACAAGGATGTTACGTGATAAATATTATTATAATTATTAGTTTATTATATCATTCACAACATATTATAACTAATGGCCATATACTTAAATCATATAATGTATTAGTTGCATAAAAAATATAAAGGATACAAAACTTTTGGTTGAAAATGAATTAAGAAACTTTAGAATGGAAGACGAATGTCTATTAATAAAGTTATCAGAAACATTAAGGAGGATGTTAGTTTTTGGACTCATTAAATTTGAAAAATATTTAATTTATTTGGATGAATAATTGAATTTCCCTAAATGTCACTAAAAAAGTTTTATATTAGATTACCTACTATAAATAAAGAGATTACCAGGAGATCATATAACGTGACATATCACATATGTATTATATTTTCACAAGCAATTATTTTCGTATAACTTGAATCAAATTTAATTTGTACTAATGTACTCATAATAATAAATATATAAATTTATATAAACATTGTATAATATATAAATAATTTTTAAAAATTTAACCGTAAAACTACGTCAACTCTTAATTATTTGTTATTTTACTTACAACATTATTAAGTAGAAAAATCGAACGTTGCTTGCTGGGTTTTGTATAATCGACTGACGCATATTAAATACGTTTAAGATTCGTTATAGAAATGCGTTAATTAGGTTTAGATAAGAGATAATTATTTTATTTAGTTGACGCATAAAAATAAAAATGTTTGTCCATGCATATGCGTTAGTATAATTAATTGATTTAAAAAGACAATTGTGTGGCTGTCTTATAATTACAAAATTGTAAATAATGCGTAGGTATTATGTGCTATTTTATAATATAAAAAGCAGTAGGTGTGATTGAATAATAATCAGACTGTAGCACTTTTAACGATAACATATTGACAATTATAATATTATATATATTTTCAGATCGAATCAATATTATTTCTTGTCGAAATGTCTTTAATGTTCATTGAAATGTGTTTAACAAGTAGAATATAACTATAACTTTTGCATTTTGAAATGGACTACAGTTGCGTAGCCAGGGGGGTTTGATAATTTAAACCTTCCCACTCTTATTGACATTTTTTATCTCAATAAATTTAGGTATTATTTATGATATTGATATACGAAAACTGTAAAAAACTTAATTAAATTTATACTTAGGTAATCCCACTCCTTACGCGACTGGGGACGGAACAAAAAGTGAATAATATAATGTAATTTTTAAATGTATAACTTTAGATATTATATTTATTATTTTAAGTTGTAATACAGATATTATTGTAACATGCAGTTACACTTTAAATTTACTTAGGTAATAATCACGTAATTAGTTACAAATTAGTAATTTGAAATTACAAGTTACACAAATGTAACATAATTGGTAATGTAACTTCCATATATGATACTGATTACTGCCCAACTCCGAATATATTATATTTTAGCTTTTGTATATTCTAATACTGTAAAAAAATCATAAAATACAATGGAATGTATATAGTAGTATGTGAGTGAGAAAGCGCGGGGTCGTAGATTCTACGGGTCACTTTACTTTGCATTATTCTAGTCTAGAATAATGCAAATTGCAAAGTAAAATTCTTAGTTAGAACTTCCTAATTTAGTTCAAATGTCTAACTCTTCTAAATATTCAACCAAATGTGTACCTATAACCTTTATTCTATACTGTATAGCAAGGGCGGCCACAACAAGGCTCTTGAGTCAGTTTCGACACAAAGCTTAGAGTAAAATTAATTAATATCAGTGGCGTACCGATAGGGTGCCACGACGGGCAAGTGCCACGAGCCCAGAGGGAAAGAGGGTCCTTCAAATAATGTGGTGAATCCAAAAAGCAGATCACTATTATTATAGRATTTTAGTTTTTCATAAAACTATGTTCTAATAAAATTAAATCACTTTAAAATAAAACAAATTTAATAACTAAAAAAATAACTGATACATGCAACATGCTTATAGGTGGGTTATAGATTATTTGATGTGCAACGTTTGCCCCTATCTACGCGGCGTCTGCGATATTGGTATTGTAGAATTGTAGATATATATATATATATAATATAAATATAATTATTATTCTGGAACATAAATAACAAGATTATGCATTAAATATTAAGAACTGAATAAGTCTAAGAAACCGTATWRAAGTCTGTTGATTACAATCGATTCATCATCCATTATCGGCGTTATYCTAATACATAGTACAACCCGGCTAAAACAGTCATMGTTTTTCGATATTATTTTGTCATTAATAAAGCTATTCTGTTGTTAGTCGTCAGTCATCACCCGTCGATCAAAAGTAAATATTGTRATCATGTCTAAAAAAGTACCTAGTGGCTATGAAAAGCGTAAAAAAACTTCGAGGATTTAATTGATACGTTTGCTAAAGCAAAAGTAAGAAAGAAACAATTTTCATAAAATAAAATACTTTAAATATTTTTTTATTATTGCATTATTTATATTATTAAAAGAAATTTAATACTTATAATAATATGTAATAAAAAGTGATTTCATCATTCATAATTGTATRATAAATGTGTTTTTAATTATTTATTATCTATTATAGTGGTCCTAGATATAAATTGTATGATGAAGTAATGAACGAAYTGTTTGAACATTGATCTATTTATAGATTAAAATATTCTGAATAACAATTTACTTTGGAATATGAAATATAAAATGGATGGTATCGTTAAAAAAGTAAAGTTATTTAGAAATGTTGTTATCAAATTACTGTTATGGATCACCATCACTTAGTATACGTATACCTAACACATTTATACTTACCTAAGTCTAATAAAATTAATAAATTGTTAAAGCCTAACGGGCTTAAAGGTAGAATGAATCTACAAATAATAATAAACAATAACAAAAATTGTAAAAGTTGTAATTCATAAAGAGGAAATAATACTATTTTTTTTCTTAGTTGGTGCCTATTTTTTTATTACCTACCACCACATTTTTTTACCAAAAGTGATATACATATAAAACGTTTATATGATGGCGTTAAAACGGTTTTAAAAGTTAAAAAGCTCACACCACGTAGTTAAAGAATTTAAAAAACCGAAATTTAATTTCAAACCGTTTTAACGCTATCATTTAAACGTAGCAACGAGAAGACCCAGACCCATGTACAACTTGTGGGGAAGCTCTAAATGTTAAACACTTAAACATAATATCCTCCTATACTGTCGAAACTACGCAGACACCAGAACAGCCTTAAGTATACYTGAGCATCTATATGAAGCACTTGGACCCGATCACGAAAGCACTATCAAAATCATAAAGTTTCTTAAAATAACCAAATTGTACAACCTTATCTGACATATTTGTATTTTTTTTTCTCACTACCTATGTAAGCTATGTTGTACTTGTATATTTTAACGTTACACCTTACACCTTTATAAATAATCTGCATTGTACTTAATATTCATAATGTTATTTAGCACCTAATTTAATGTTTAGATTGTACAATATGCCAATAACTTTAGTTGTTGAGGCTCTAATAAATAAAAAATAAACTTAGCAAATAGCATTTTGCGCTTACACCAATGTAAGTCTTAAGAGTGTATGGCATTTTGCATGTATTGTATTGTCAGGTTGTACGAGTCTTGTAATTTATTGTTATCTGTTGGCGCCTTGGCGGTAGCCGTTTGGTGATAACAGCCAACCACGCGCGTGCTGTGGAGATAATATAGTATCTACTATCTTATATAGTAGTATTAAATTGTAATAACACAGAATAGTCTGTGGTAATAGCGTAGTGTGTTAATTTAAAAAAGCAGYCAAGATACAACACTTAACTATTCAAACGTCTCAACAGTACACACTGCACATTTTTTATCTATAACAGAAATGAGAGAAAAATCCCATGAAAAAGGTCTATTTTGTCATATTATGATAGTATACTTATTAAGTTGTCATTAGTTGTGATGAGCACTAAGCACTGTTAGCAATTGTATTATTTGACAATATTGGCGGCGGAGGCGTTGGCGTACACTGTGTCGCTATTCATTATTGAATATTAATTGTAATTATTATTTAAAATAATTTAATATTTATCGCCGGCGTGGCCTACTGCTGAAGAAGATTTCGTGAGTGTTTTTTTTTTCTTCATATTTATTTGTTTTCTTCTATATAAATCGCACATCGCCTGAACGTCATCGCGACACTGTCGAGTGTCGTCCACTGCGCGCATCGCAGCCGTCGTCGTTTGTCGCGCGTTTTATTAATACATCGTCGGCACTACTCGCCGGGGCATTGTGCTATAATTATCTCGCGATTCGCTGGCAGGTCTGCCCGTTTAACGAGAGATAATTCGCCGGGTAAACGCTGACGGTGCACCGCACAGAATCCGGCACGACTATTGGTAGGTACGCCGTTGGAGTCTGGAGATCACCACGACTGCTGCTGTAGTACTATAATATAGATCGATTGATTCAGCTCATACTATTTATTAATTTAATATTATATGTGGTGATATAGGACGGAACCGTGAACATGGATGCAGAATCGTTTTTGGAGTTTGCCAGCCAAGTGACCAAATGGAAGATGTACCCGTACTTTGATGTTGCGCATAGCGTCCTATGTGCGCTCCATGTCCGTGACGACCTCGGTCCAGGTAACAGTGTTATGAGTGCTTTAAATTGTYGAAAATCCTTACTTACCTCTGTATGTGYACGTGTCACATTCCATAGGAGCACTGGCTTTTTCACGCAAGCACCCCATTTCCTGTTGGCTGTCTACAATGTTGGTCGTCTTTGCTGGAGGCATGTTGAGCGCTGCTCTACTTGGCGAACCCCCTCTAGCACCGCTCAAAAATTCTCAACAGCTTTTGATTGCWACAGCCGTTTGGTAATTACTAAAATATAATAATAACTGTTTGAATTGATCGGCATAAACTCCCTATTTGATTTTTTAACTGTACTGATTTTCCACAGGTATCTAGTTTTTTACACACCTTTTGATATTGGATATAGTATTGCAAAGTTTCTTCCTGTGAAATTAGTGTTTTCCGTCATGAAAGAAATATATCGGTATGTGTTTACCTCAGTATTTATGTTAATGTCTTTGTATTCTTGTAAAAAATCGGTMATTTTCAGTTGTAAAAAAGTACATGATGGAGTATTGCATGCAGCTAAATTATATCCCAACGCCTATGTCATAATGGTTTTAATCGGAACCCTTAAAGGTATTAAAACTCATGCATGTGCTCATCTTACAATTTTATTTAACAGTATTATTTTACTTACCGTTCATTAATTCCAGGAAATGGTGCTTCATTTACAAAAATTATTGAAAGACTTTTAAGAGGAGTGTGGACACCCACATCTATTGAGACATTACAACCCAGTTTGTATGTAAAACAGATTAGTGTGATTTTTAAACTGCATTATAATATTATTATTTTTATTTTATTTTTTGCAGTACTACTAAAGCATGCATTATAGCATCCGTGGTGTTTGTACTTGATATTAAAAGTGATTTAATATCAGCTCCACATGCTTTTGTTTATGTTTTTGTCATYGGTTTCTTCATATACTTCAAGGTTTGTAAAATATATTATAAATATTAATTTATTGTAATGCTCAAATTTAATTGAATAAAACAGTTAAAARTGAGAAAATCTAAAATCATCCCTTACAAATGACGCCATGTTTCACTTGGACACAATCCACATATTTTGCTATTAACTTGACATTAAGTCTTGAAATATTATCTAGATAATCAAAATTTGTCTTTGCTGTAATTTGCACCAATTTAAATAGTATACATTTAAATACGCTAGATGTTATATTTGTCCTTGTGTAACAATCCTTGTTATGCACCCAAATAACAACTATAGATTTCAGTTTTTTTAATTTCTATAAAAGCTGACACATCAACTAAGTAAATCTATTTAAATATTAAATTGCTATTTGTTTAGTTATTTATTTYAAAAACTGTTATCTACATTTATATTTAAAAATTTGGATTGATATTTTTTTTTCAAATATTTACATATATTTAGTCGGATATTAATTTAAAGAATTATTCTCAAAGTATTTTTGCACAAGTTAAACAAACTATTATTTAATTTTATCATTTCATGTTAAAGTATAGAGTATAAAAGTTAAATACTATTGTATTTTTAAGTTATTTTACTATCCACTTCTTATTTAGAATTTGAATGACTATAATAACAATAGTAATAATTATTTACTTTATATCCTAGTAWCCAGTTTGTTTGGTATTTTATTCACCAATATCCACTAATTATGTTTGTGTTTTTTATTTAAATTTCAAACAGCAAACTATTAATGAAAATATTTTAAAAAAACATAATTTTTTTTTGTTTAGCAGATAAAAAGAAATTCTAGAATACTATTCTATTCTATTTTATTTTATACAAAATATTAAGTTTTTATAGGTTTAACTCTTGAGGACCAAATTAAATATACAAAGGCATTACTCAATGAAAAGATTAAGAATAGAAAATAATTATAAATTTAAACTAATGACATAGTAATTTACCATTTTTGTCATCATATTTTATAAGCTTTAATGTATAAAGCATCCTAAATAAGTGTATTATTTACTATGTAATAATATAATAAATATATAAGCTTAGATTAAATCATAAAAAATGAAAAATGTTCATTGTAAAGGTAGGTAGGTGTGTCAATACTACCTATACCATCATTTTTAATGCCTTTGCTCATCAAAAATAAAATAAAATGTGTAAAACCTTAATCAGACTTAATAATTTCAAAAATAATTAAGTAGATGTTTATGGTATATACAATTAATTAATATGTATATAAAATAATTTATTAATTTTAAATAATGTATCTTATTATTTTCAAGGTATTTTCTTCAATGATTTTGGGTATACATGAGCCAATGCTACCATTTGAAAACTTGATATGCGCAATATTCTTTGGAGGTATCTTTGATTATACCACAAAAGCATTCAAAAATACCAAAGACGACAAAGTTGATACAAAAAAGAAAGACTAACCACAAGTGAAATTTGGTTTATGTTTTAAATTATGAAATTCACTATGTGATGAATTATTTTATATCTAGTCAATGCATTTTTCATGCACAAAAACAAATCATAATGTTCCCCAATTGACTATTAATTATAAAATCAGGTTTTTTTTTTAAATGTATTATTTTTGTTGTATTTAATATTTATAACTAAATTTWATGTAATATTAATAAATTGTTAAAACTAACAGGACTTTCTACAGCAAAAAATTATTTTATTATCTCACAATAATTTATGTAAAAAAACTATTTAACTATTTTGGGTATCTATTACATCATTTAAATTATTGTAGTAATCTTTTTAGTAGAGTATATATTCAATTCATAAAAAGATTATTTTTTGTCAAATCTTGAGATGAATTACATGACTGGTTATTTATTACTTTATGTATGTTTGTTGTGACATTGAACTTATACTTCAGATATAGTTATGGATATGAATAACTAGTATAAGTAACATACATAATGCCATAAAATTTTTTCACTTTCAATGTTGAATTGTATTGCTGTAATTGTAAATAATTTTTCTGCAGATATAAAATCTATAATACCTATATTATATTAAAAATCTATAATTTTAGCTGTTATACTTGTATGCCCTATTACATGTTTATTTTACTTTACAGTAAATTAACCCTTGACTGAGCTTAAAAGTAGAACATCATCTGCATTTATAAGTCAKTTAATAGCTCATTACAATAATTGAATTTTTAGTAATTTTTTCATARGTAGATAAGGATAAATATTGTACGAATGTCAAATGTAGAAAATCTTGYTTACCTTAGTTTGTTAATACAACAATAATTCTACTGAAAACAAATTTAATTTGTTATTTTTAAGATTATAAGAAGAAGRGTAGAGGATTGGAGGCAAGTAATACATAACATCACACTTGCAGTTGATACTTCCTCTTAAAGGAGCACACAACAACAAAACACAAAAAATAAAAATATTCTTCAAATTAAAATACAATGCTAAATCTTTGTAGTCAGATCTTCTAAAATGATGTAATCCAATCTAAAAAAAAAATAATATAAGAGTTAGGGATAKATATCTAAAATAACCACATGACGTAACTGTGCCAGGCCCGGCATAATCGCCTTTTTTAAGCATGTAAAAGTTTTCTCTGGTCACCTCGGTATAGGCCACATAACTGTCACATGCGACTGAAGAAGATTCTCATGTCTTATCACGGAACACACATTACGGTCTGCAACTGTGGTCTGTCAAGCACATATTATTTCACTGTGTTTCATTAAATACTATTTAAATATTAAAATAAAAGTGATCTGTAAAGCTTTGGTATAAYGTACAACTGGTGATTTTACTTGTGTCACTTAAATCTTAATTGAATATTATACGAAATTAGATGACATTTTAATATTATGTCGTCGGGTGCAGTGAAAAATTGATTTTTAGTTTTTATAAGCAAAACTAATATTACYGCATAATTTATTTTTTTGCAAACAGATCATCATATAACTTTATATTGGCTAGAATTCAAAATAGTTAATTAATGTCGTGTGGTATACCTATACTGATGTTTATTTATTTAGGTACTGTTCATATTTAAGGTGGTGGACAGTTTTTAAAAGAGTTCGAATTAGGCAATTGTGAATTGTCGCGCTTTTATGTATAATAATATATTAAGATATAATACTTGTAAAGTAAATGGTGAAATCTATGTAACATTAATTATTAATTAATAAACTAATTTAATAATTAACAACTAAAAGGTAGTACACTAGTACCTATTAAATTTATTCAGTTATTAGTTTTTAAATTGTAACAAAATAAGAAAACCGATTTTCTTTTTAATGCGAAAACGATTTGATTGGGAATTAGATCGTACAGACGAGGATCCGGAGAAAACTGTAAGTGTGGTAATAATTTTCTTTTAACTTTACCGATGGAAAATATCTTAGTTACRGTGATTTATAAACCAATAAGTATATGATAAAAGAAATAAATCTAAATCATTAACAATAGTGATAATAACATTAATAACAATAGAATACAAACACACACACACATATATATAGCTTCATTTTAAGTATAGGATCTATAAACTATAAATTTACACCCAACAATAATATTATACATAGTAAGTTCGTTGATTTAGTAAATGTTAGTTGTAACACTTCCGTTTTTTTTTTTCATATTAATACCGCATTGTAATTTTTGCACAAGCATAACCTGTAAAAWGTTRCATAGTATTCCTCCATGTGTTTTTATTTTCGATATCTARGGTACCTAAGTATTTTTTTTTTTTTATTTCATTAAATTAAATCAATAAATAGACTTATACGCAATAACAAACAAAATAATATTTCAAAAAACCGTTTATTAACTTCAATTTATTACTTTATATAATACAGTAAAACCTGTGTAATATGGAACCTGAATTGWGTGGAAAACTGACTTTTATGGGAATATGTTAGGGTCCCAGCGAACCTAATGTATTTTTWAATACATCGTTACCTAAAGTAAGATGGAAACTGTTTCACGTGCAAATGGAAACGATATTTTGTCATGCTACTGTATATCATGGAAATTGTACATGGTGTATTTTAAAATTATCAGTCAATAAATAATAATATAATCTATGTCGATACAGATAACTTCGTCGCAATAAATTTATTTTAACGGTAAATGTTGTAGTAGTGTTATGTCGCGGACTGCGTATAGACGTATATTAAATATGACGTCCAAAAATAAATATTTTTACCATAAATGAAAGTATTAAACTAATCGAGTCAGGTGAAAAAGATAATTTAACAGTAAACCAAATTTTAACGATAAATAAAAAAAGTAGATAGGTAGTGAAGAACATGTTAACATCGATAAGTATTTATATGTAGGTACTAATGCTAATGATAATAAACGTAGTAATAAAATAAATTGTGTTTTAAAGGGCGTTGAACAATCCAGTTCTGATAACGACCCGATAATATTGCTCAGCAAAAYATATAAAAATGATCTTTATGAAATAAAACTACCTATAAGAAATGTTCGCATTGCATTAAAATAATGAAAAAGAATTTTCGGAATCAATTTTCACTTTGAAAAATTTAGTAGAAAAGAAAATGGCAGGTAATTTAGTAATTTAACAAAACAAAAAACATTGGAAGAATTTTGGAAAAATGTGAATAAATATAACAATTTTCGAGTATATAATAAAATACATATGTATTTAATAATTTTTTTTCTTTTATTACTTGTAATTTTTATGATGTAATGGGTACTAAATATGTACATAACAAGTAGGTACCTAAGTATAAAATATATTTAATCATTTTTCTAAATTTTTTTTTAAGTGGTAATAACCTGGAAAAAAATATCCGGTCCAAGCCGTTTCCATATTACACAGGCTTCACATTATCTATCTAACCTATAGCAAGAAATTTTTCTAACAAAAAGTATAATGTCTCCAATGGTCTAATCTCAAAGTTGGAAGTCGGAAGGTAGCGAGATGCATTAAGGTAATTGAACTATAAATTTATGTAGTTTTTTCTGCATCATTATTTGTAAGTTTAGCTCTAAAAGTTATTCATTTATAACGTCAAAGCTAATTATTTTTTACCGATTAGCTAACAGTATTTAAAGTAAATCTAACTATCTAGTATCTATACTGTAAAATCGTAATGATTATCGATCTGAACCAGAAGTATTGTCTTGCTGTTTTYCTTTACCGTTTAAGGTATGAACTTAATGCGTTTTAACGTCCTTTAAATTTATAATTATAATTATCTTGGTTGAATAGTTTTCTAACGATTGRCAGAGCGTGTCATAAAATTGATTGCCTCTACCATAGACCGTAGTCGATAATGTTCACATAATCACTTTAGTTATACAATATCCTTATTTATTTTATTCGAATGTAAAAGTATTGTTGAATAGTTTTAAAGAACACCAAAATAATTATTAATTTTAAAACAAATAATTGTTATGTTATTATTTTTTTTACACATAAAAATTCATCTACTATTATTAATGCTGGTCTCGAATTAGTCATTGATATACAACTATTAAGAGGACTCGCGCTCGCATAAATGTTGTTTTTGTCTTACTAACGAATGACATACCTAGAAGTACGTCAAGTAGTTTCAGTTTTATATTATAAAGTGAACTGACCTATTATTAAACCTAAAAGTAAGAATATCCGAGTTCTCTCGTTGGATAATGTTTTAATTTTTAAGTGAAAATTATGAGAATGAATAATAGCTAGGTACATTAATATTTAAAAAATGTAAATATCGTACAAATAAATTCAGCGAGAGAACATAGATAATGTTCCAACATTTAGGTTTGATAATAAGTCAATTCACTGTAATGTTTAGGCTAGTTGTAGTAAACAATTGAAACTGCTGGACGTAAATTTTGCCATTTTGGCATATTATACGTTAATAACACGTGGTGACATGATATGCGAATACATCGACCTCTTAAGGGATACACAATATTGAAATTAATTATCATAAATCATAATTGTATATATAAATAATACATTTACCTAAATATACTATATTACTTTTAGTCATGGTCATGAGTTCTGTCCTTATCAGTTGTTCCAAAAATATTTTACGATACCACTAATGACTTTGTTTTTGAATATAATTTTCAATAAGTTTTAGCAAGATCTAGCTCCTGTGCATAAMACAAAAACGACACAAYGCTGGTTGAAGATCAAATTACCTACAAAGCTTTTCTGAATGCAGAATGGTTAGAGGCTTCCATATTTATATAACTTACTATGTTGGTGAATAAATGATTCGGCAACGAGTGGCAGTATTGTCATAAACAGTTCCCACCCGTTTCCGGTTTTTAAATAAAAAAAATATCATATTAAAAGGATTTGTCGCAGCTCATGATTTTCCCTCAGGAAGTCCAGACCTCAATCCTTTGGACGGGACTTCAGACTATAGAGTGTTTTAGAGGAGAAGACTTGCTCTAATCCTCAACGAAATATCAAATCATTAAGATAGGATTTAAATAATTGGTAAAATCAGCTATCTCGATTCTGTTAAGTATTAGATCTGAAGAAGTGTATAAATTCAAACGGTGGAAATTTCGAATAGTATTTAGTTTTTTTTTTATTTAGATGCCAAGTTAATAAAGAATA